TAGTAGTCATCTGGTGTACATTATTCTCATTGAATGCGGTAAAACTATATTGATGAAGCAATGTGTCTGTTTTCTTATTTTGCAGTTCTCTGTAGAAAAATTGTTCCTTTTAAACTAGCTGATATTGGAGAAGGCATCAAAGAAGTAAACGTCAAAGAATGGTGAGAAAACGAAAATTCTTTAGATTCTGAAAATAAACTTACTTGCAGATTGGACTTAATAGAGTGAATCCTGACTTTAGTGGCCGATAACTTTGTTATCAGTCACATCATATTTCACCTGAACTTGAGAAACAAAAATCTGGATTCTCTTTCCGAAATCCAGCTCACTTTTGAAACACAACATCTAATGTAAATGACAAAAGCACTCTACCAGTTTGATGCCATGAAATGTAGTGCCTTGTTTACTTGAAGATCAACCCATGCCTGGGCATAATTATTACACCCATGTCTACTGCAGTTCACAAATGCTATTTCATGGTCTTGCTAGTTTTTAAATTGTCCATTGGGCTTGTAAATGGATGATATATTGTAGCAAATCAATAACATGGCAATTATACTTCATTTAACATTCATAATAATTGTATTTTAACGTCTTTGGTTTTGTGATAAAATAAAAACAACAGGTACCTGTATATAATGAAAATGTCATCCTTTATTGTATCAATCTTTTCATTCAGAAATCAGCTGACACTGATACTATGCTTGTTAGCTACGTAAATTTGACGGTTATTGTTTTCGTTGATCAGGTATGTGAATGTGGGAGACCATGTGAAGCAGTTTGACAGCATCTGTCAGGTACAGAGTGATAAGGCTTCTGTCACCATTACTAGTCGTTATGATGGAGTCATCAGTAAACTCTATTACGAAGTGGATGATGTTGCCCAGGTCGGGGACCCACTAGTCGATATAGAAACGGACAAGGATACAGGTATAAAAACTTTGTGTTGAAAGTAGTTCTGGATGAAACCAAATATTCAAATTTTTGCTTAAGATCCAACTTATTTTCCCATAAGTGAGAGTGACACCTCATGTAATATTGCGAATTTGAAGAAACCCATAGCCTGATGCCATGACATTAAAATACAATCTTCCAAATTTAAAGCCTATGTTCCCATTAAGTTATCTCCTCTTCATAATTAGAATATGTGTGCAAATGGTGAGTTATTGCAGCACAGAAATTTCAGGAAAAAAAAAAAAAAAAAGAAAAATCAATTTTACCCCATACTATTTTCCATAATTGTTTTCTACAGAGGAAACGCATCGTCCTGATGAGTCAGATGATTCTAGTTCTTCCTCCTCCTCATCATCAGAAGATGAAAAATCTCAACCTCAGGTCCTCAAACAGAAAGTTCTTGCCACTCCAGCTGTGCGAAAGATTGCCATGGAGAACTCAGTAAGTATGACTAGATTAGGGTGTGTGTGTAGGGAGGGGGGGGGGGGTAGCAGGGTATAATACAGCATTTCAAATCACATATAAATAACTCAATCGAAGACATTAATTATTTCATTTGCAAAAAAGTTTAGGGCTGAAACAACTATACCTGGAAAAGTTGACTTGTACAATTGACATTGAGTATACGTCAGTTTTTTTTTTAAATTTACATTGACATTATTGTACTTTATATTTTAGCTTTGTTTTTTGAGGTTAGTACACTGTCCAATTTGTAATGCAATCCATGATTATTTGTGAAACTCGAAGCTAGAACTATTGTGTAAAGGTAATACATGTATAAGAAAAAAAAATTAAACAAGACAAAGAAAATTTGGGAAATAATGGGAGGTGTCAGATTCAATATAAAAAGGGTTATTTTTCAGTTAAAGAAAAATGTGACCCACCTAACCTGCATTCCTGTATCAACGCCTGGATTGTGTTGCATGTATTAGGATTTTAAAACATTGAATGAAAAATTACAATTCAATTAAATTCAATACAGTACTCCCAACAGGCATTGTTTTTAACTTCAACTGAATTAGAATAAAATGTGGTTTTTATTTTCAACATCATCAAATTTATTAAGATAGCAGCAATGGAATAAAAGTAATTAAGCAGAATAATTTATGTAAATTACATGCACATTGTATACTTACTATATTTGAATCAAAGAAAACAGTAGCGTAAAAGAATATTTCAATGGCATGTTAAGATTGGTCATGAAAAAATAAAGAGGTATCTACATGTACCAGTGTATTGCACAAGTTTTCAACCTTTTGATGTCTTTAATATAAGAAAAAGGGAAGCATGCTGAATGCAAAGAGAAGTGATAGTTAGCAGCTATATATTGTAAGGTAGGGAAAAGTATTTTGGAAAAATAGCTTGATAAATTTCACCATACTTTAAATATATGTTTCAAAACTAAAAATAGTATTAAAAATACTTTTTTAGATCAAGCTCTCTGATGTTGCTGGTACAGGAAAAGATGGTCGAGTGTTAAAAGAGGACATCATGCGACACATACAAGGTGGAGCACCACCTGCAGCAACACCTGTTGCGACCCCCACCCCTGTTGCTGTGCCTACTCCTGCTGCTGTTCCAGCACCGACACCTGCAAGGATATCTCCAATTCCTGTTGTACCAGCAGTGTCCATCCCAATCGGAAAGGACAAAACAGAACCTATTAAGGGGGTTAGGAAAGCCATGGTGAAATCTATGACTGAAGCTAACAGTGTCCCCTTGTTTGGATATTGTGACGAAATTGATGTGACTAAACTTGTTTTTCTGAGGGAAAGTGCAAAAGCAGTGACTGCAGCCACTGGAATGAAATTCTCCTACATGCCATTTATCATAAAGGTTTGTACATCTCATTAATTATTATCTAGAGGGATCCTAAACTAGCCTGTACTTATCAATCTGGTACATAGTCACACAGTGGACAGTTCATTAAGTGCCATAGGCTAATCTAGGCTAACCAATATAGACCAAAGTTTGCTGTCGCAAGTTTTAGAAGTTCTGTCTCAGAATTCAACCCCAGTTTCAGTATTCTTGTATCAGATGTACACATCCCAGGGGACAAATATTCCCCCATTCCTAGAACAATGAGGGCAGGTGAATATGCATATTTTCTGTAGCCAATAACAATTGTGAAAAATATGTTGAAAATCTCTTATTTTCATTATAAAATTTCTCACAATATTTTAATAGCATTGTGACTTTGAAGTTGGCAATGTATTCATACGCACAAATAATAATTGTTAGGTACTTTGAATTACTATTTTGATTATAATGGAATTGATTTTGTTTTCAGGCAACCTCGATGGCATTGCACCAGTTTCCCATCTTGAATGCCTCTGTGGACAAAGAATGTGAAAATATCACATATCTGGTATGTAAGATTTACTGAAAGGACAGATTCATACTAACAGTCATTAATCACTGGAAAAATATATATTTACAAGAAACAATTTGATGATGACATGACATGACTGCTTTCTTTAAATTGAAATTGTTGTGAATTTATTGCATACTGAATACTTTTTTCTGCAGGATATACCCCTGGTATTTACCTGTATGTTAAGTACCCAGGTAGAGAATTTAGAATACAAAATACAGGTATTTCCTGAAAGTCCAGACAAAATATCATGTGTTTCTCTAACATGTTTGAAAAATGTTTGGTAGGTTAGTAGGCAAAACATTTAATTAAACCAATAATTTTATAAGGGATAGGAGAGGGATCATAACTTTAGCAGCGCTTCTTTAAAAATTGTCTTAAAAAGTTAGGGTAGGCACATATTACTAGGGTGGGTTTGGTAACTGAAAACATTTTGTGTGGCCTTATTTTGTAATTTTGAAAAGAATATTGATATTCTCAGAACAAACAATAGTCAGTGACACTCAGATTTCTGACAAAATAACTTGGATTTTTTCCACAACAGAATTCTGTACGTAGGTAGTTTACATGTGTGAAATATCTTATATCAGAAAGATGTGCATTTTTCATGTACATTTGTGAGTGAATAAGTCCTAAAAATATTCTTGAAGATATAGTACAATGTATATCTTCGTTTGTTCATTCTGCAAACTCACAGCCACTATAAATAAGTATGTGTAATTTCATCTGAATTATAATTTTTAAAATAAGGTATGAGAGAGATGTATTGACAGTTAATTACATATCATTGATGTTTCAGGCTGCTCATAACATTGGTATAGCTATGGATACTATTGAAGGACTAATTGTTCCAAATGTAAAAAATGTGCAGTCCCTAAGTGTGTACGAGATTGCAGCTGAACTTAATCGACTACATGCATTAGGACTGGAAGGGAAACTGTCCACAGCTGACATGACCGGTGGCACATTTTCTCTGTCAAACATTGGAGCGGTAAGTATTATTATCTTTGATTACAGTATTACAGCTGTATAACTTACAATAAAACCAGGGTGCCTCACAGAAATTTGGGCTCAATGTTAAGGAGCAGATAGATTGGATAATGAAATAAAATGTGTTAGTAAATCTATAGGGACAGAAACGTATATTGATGGACGGGTTTAACATCAGTCATGGATTTATTGGTAGGTAAATATTGATGTATGGTATGAAGATATAATTGTAGTGAAATTGGCCTTGAAAACCCTTTTATGGAGAAAGCAGTCATATGATAATCTTATTACAAATGTAGATCTTTGTTGACAAGTTACAGATGTTTGGAGGAAAAACACAAGTGGACTGATTGAATCAGTATTTGTGTTAGGGCTATTGCAGTAAAACATATACTTGACCCAAGGACTCCAAAATAAATCACCTCTATTCCTAGTCTGGTTGCCTACCTTTTTACTTCTAAGCAAATTTTCAATTAAAATGCTATGCTTAGTATCCCTAAACAAAGTCTTGGGGTGGGATAAATGTTTTCTGAAGAAGCCCTCCACAATGTAGGTAGTGTCTGTTATTATTTTGTAGACATACCAACATACATGTATTTTGTGATATGACTGATCACTAACGCAAATTGCTTTAAAAATAAAACTTATGTCTGATTCTTATCAATGTAATCATGTTTTTATGTATCCTTTAAGTATACATATGAAAATAAATCCACAGCAAAGTATTGTTTACCATTTCAATAGATGTATCGATATATAATGCCTTTCTTTCCTATGTCTATAGATTGGTGGAACCTATGCAAAACCAGTGGTGTTACCACCACAGGTAGCTATTGGAGCCCTTGGCAAATTCCAGGTGAGAAAAGAAATTATCAATGTTTTTTTATAGCTTGGAATTACATATCACTTTGCATCACAAAGCATGTTGACAAAAAGCTGATGAATCTATTTTGATGTTGATTGATGTTGTATGCTGTTGGAGTACAAAATTGTATTCCATGTCAGAATACATGTAATATCATTTGGTAAAGATTATTTCTCTATAAAGTATTTCATTAAGTAAAGTTACACTAAAGTGAGTTGAATATGTTTAAATTTAACATTCATTGTTTTTACCTAATGGCATTTTGCTGTTATCATTTTAATTGGTAAAAGTCAAGATTTTTACATGATTAAATCATTATATGGAAGTTGTTAAGTGTTGACAATTCACTATGTAAACATGAAATGACTTATTAAAGATGAAGAAAATGTTTCCTCATCATAAGATACCTCATTACAGCTGACTTTATGTATAGGAAACATAACTAACACAATACACATTAGAGTTATCAAATACAAATATCTATGGATTTTTATAGTCTATTATAAAGTCATTCTAAGAGACAGAAAAGTAAATTAACAATTCTGAACCTACAGTTGGATGTACAGGAATTTACAACAATATTGTATATTTTGGATGTTTTTGATAATTAATCTGAAAGCAGTTATTCCCATCTTTATTTTGAAGTAATTTAATACTGGTTACAACATCTCTGTTGTCTACAGGTGCTTCCCAGGTTTGATGAGGAGGGTAATGTGAAGAAAACACATATTATGAATGTGAGCTGGTCAGCTGATCACCGAGTGATAGAAGGTGCCACTATGGCACGATTTTCCAACGTGTGGAAAGCCTACCTAGAGAATCCTGCTACTATGACAATACACTTAAGATAAAGTGGATGTTTTAGTTTTAAGTAAATCAGATCATTCCATCATTTCAACAGTAAATGCTGTATTTATCCAACACAGGGCCACTACCTGATCATATTTGGCAGTACCATCGTGTTTATAGTACATATGTATATCACACTGGGATATAGGCATAATGTTGTTGATCTTTTTGTGAAGCAGTTTAGAATTCAGATGAATACAGAAGCATAGTGGTATGTGTCTGAAATGGTTGGTGTTACCAGTATAATTTTTTAAATATTCACAGAAGTTTGTCAGCTTAGTGTATTATCAATTATTGAAGATGTATGAGAAGGTTGTCTGCAAGTTATAAAGTTAAATTGAACTTCTGAAAGGATCAACCTTTTCTGCTTAAGTATTTTTTCTATCTTATGAAAGAAACAACTTTAATTCGAATTGTTAAGTAGGTGGTTCAACTTTTAAAAATTTTTGTTTTTTTTTGTTTTTCCTAGTCCAAATGAGAAAGAAGTTTGACTATATAAAAGTGTATGATTGTATCATGCATAAGTATGGTATTATTCTGATTCTGGAATACACTTTTTATAAGTTGACTTTCATGTGATAAAGTGTAACCTCACTACATGCCATCACAATCGATAATTTGAAAAAGATACTCATTGTGTAAACAAGTACAACATATAACTATATACACACAAGTATTAGCATATATATTTACCTTGCTGTTTTACATTTCTTCAGTGAAAGAACCAAACAAAAAATATATTTATTCAACCAGAGGCATTGCATTCAAATAAGTGCATAGAAGTTATATATAGTCAGTTTATTTCTATGCAAGTTTGTTGATGTCATTTTTTCGGGATTCTTGCTAACCTAACGAGTTGCTATAAATCCATTGTCCTGTACTTTTACTCAGTAAGAAAGAAGCTAGTTTTAAATTGTTGTTTTGTTTGGTAAAAAATGCTGACATGTTAAATTTTGTTGTTTGCTGTGACACATACCAAACATATTTTGTGAATTTCAAAGTAAACTGATTGTATACATGTGTGTGTGTGTGTGTGTTTGTGTGTGTGTGTGTGTGTGTGTGGTTTTTTTTATATGAAGAAAAAGAATCATGAGCTCTGATACCTTGTAGACCTGGCATTGATACTGTCAGAAACATCATCCCTAAAGAGAAAATTCTACCTTCAGTAAAAAGTTAACTTTATAGGAATGTCTGGACTGTTGTGTGTTGTTGTGAATGTGAAGTAGTAGGTTATGAAATAGACATATAATATATAAAAGTTTGTGAGGGTGAAGATGTGTGTGGGAACATATTAAATGAAATTGATTGTTAAAATTTTAAAGCTATCTTTTATATAGCTTAAAGAAGTAAAAGAATGCAGATTAGTTAATTTAGTCTGTCAAAATGACAAAATTAGTGGTACCATGGTAATATTTTAGCGAGTTCATTGCTGACACAGATGTTTTTTTCTTTATCTTTGGTTATTTATAGATAAGTCTTAATTTTCAGAGATATTCTTTTTATATAGACAACTGTGCATTTTCAGAAAGCGATGGTAATGATTTAAAATGTATTATATCTCTGTAAAAATAACAAATATCATTTTAATTTACATGTAAATTGATGTGTTGAAATATTTTTTAGAAAATGTACATTTTTCCATGTGAATTAAACATGGATTTAACAAGAGATGGTTAGAAGGAATCGCTAGCAAGTCTGATTTTGGAGTGTCATACTGCCCTTATATCATAAAAAAGTCACATGATGCATATTGGTTGATAACAAGAAACACTGGGCAACAACCTAACTCTCTGACTTATGTTAATGTACCTGGCCACAAATTCATGTGTTTTTGGTGATATGTTAATCAGATTGATTTTATTAGGTAATATCTTATATCATTTTTTAATTTGAATCTCAAGTACCAAGTGTACACATACAGAGTCTGGTATTGTTAAAAGTCTGACAATACACAGCTTGTATAATTTGTGAAATGAAGTAATTTAATAAAACACATTAAAACCCAAAGCATGCTGTTCATGTTTTTATTTAATTTTGTTTATTCATTTTCTTTTTATTCGGTATGTGCATGTAATGATATCGAAATTACATACTTTATATATTTTCATAATACAACATCTGATTTCCACTTCCTATGATGAACACTAAACCTTCAGAGAAATAAAGATATTAAGTAACAGCTTTGAGATAGAATCAACATCACAAATTGAGGAAGGGTTTCACTCATTAGAAAGTTGAGAGTCATCTTTTGCATAGCATTTATGAAGTGCCATGCCTAGATAGCTAAACTTATGTGGACCCGATATTATAATGTATAAAAAAAATATTGACCGTAGCAAAAAATAATAAGTGAAATAGTAAACAATTGCAATGATAACTTAAGTTTTAAAGCTGTCTTTTTATACAAGGATTTTTCAGTCTGACACATTTTTTTCGGATTTGTTTATTCTTCTTTTATATATGACTTGATTCATTTAGTTATCTCCCCTGCAGAAGTCTTTTATTTGGAGGAAGGAAACACGAATTGATGTACTAAAGACGGAATTAGCGCATAAAATTGAACTAAAGATATACATGGGTTTTGTCATACCGTTTCAGTGCAACAAACCGACTTCCAAAAGGCTATTTAACTCAACTGACTAAGGTATGTATGGGTATTAAATTGATGTTGACCCTAGCCAGTTGACAAATGTTGACGGTCTTCAGACGATAGAGAACGCACATGGAGCGTCTAAATTCAACAAGTTGGGAACATCTTTGGCGATGATGCACTGAAACTCTTACACATGTTCTCATTACAGAGTATACAAATCTTCTGAACTCCGATTGTTATCAGAGGCGAGAATGGGTAATGGCTTGGTTTATCACTTTTTGTGTGTATTTTTTTTCAAAAGTAGTTTATCGTGTAAATGTCTCGGCCATGAATGAGATCCTGTACACCATGGGTAGAGTTTAGGGAATTTTAATCCTAGGTGATGAGGGGATGTGTTAGACTTCCACTGCATCCTCACAAATCCAAGGATGTTCTCAACCTGTTCAACGGTACAGTTCTCTAAGTCTAATTACTGTACTGAGCAGGCATAGACGATCACATAATCATGTTGGATCACTATGAAGACATGTTGGATTACTGTAGACTCTAAATCAGAAACCATCACTACGATCATATCTGGCTCTTTTTCTGTGTAGATCAGTTAATTACCAATCGCCAATGATTGAGGAGGAGAGAGGGGGTTTCATGTGTACTCTGACCAGTCATAGTTGGTGGGTAAAGAACTCATCTGGACAAGCTCCTTTGGTTATAGGTAGATTCAGATTGTTGAGGATCAGCATGTAACAGTATGTACTGTGTATCATTGCTGAAATGACACACTTAAAACAAAAGAAATAGTTTCACTGTTACTTTCAGACCAAGATTAATTTTGTTTTTACATGTATTTGAGATGACAGACATTTTAATGGACAGATGCATCAAACTTAATATACATTTAGGTTACAGCACTTTCCTACAATTTAAATATATGCTTGTTTACTAAGCTTATGTATCACATATATGTTGTAGAAAAGTACTGATAATGGATGTACTAAACAGATTTTACAACCAAGTAAGCCACCTGGAAAACACAACAGTGCATAGTAGAACAGTTAAGACATTAAATTCTAAATCTCATTACTAAATCCATCCATGCTCTCTCTCACTCACTGCAAGATTGGCAGTTTTGTATGAATTCTGTTATATCTCATTATCAGTATTCAGTTTTTAGGACACTTCATCCTGAAATTTTAAAAGTCAAATGTCACAAATTTGGATTTTTTTTCTGATTATATCCTAATACATGTACATTTTAGATGCATACTTCATTGACATTTTTTATAGTCTGGATTACAGAACAGAGCTGGAATAATATCAGCTAGAGTTTAGTTGAATATTTCTTAGGAGAACAGATTATTTTGCTGGCTAGACAGTCTTTTACTAGTATTCCCATAGTAGTTGCACAATTCTGAATATACCACAGGAATTTCTCAAAGTGTCAGTATATGTAACAGCCTTTCTGTAAAACATTGTACAGACAAGGGGCCACAGTGGCCAACTGGTTAAGGCCTCACACTGTCTTTATCACTTGCCCTCCACCTCTTTGTCTCAGATTTGAGGCCTACATGGGACAGTTGCCAGGTGCTGGCCACAGATCAGTGTATTTTCTTGGGGAAATTGGGTTTCCTCCACCACTCAAATCTGACATGTCCTTAAATGACCCCGGCTGTTAATAGGACATAAAGCAACAATAGAAAACCTTGCGCAGTTCACCTTGCATTCCTCATTATCAAATGATGGAAATTTCTCTGTAGAATATATTGATATGGTATACTTATATGCTACAGGAGTGAGAAGTACTTTCTTTCTTCTCTGATGCAAAAACAGCTTTAATGCTTTTGACTAGTTGATTGAAATATTTATGTTGTAGAAGGTAATCTGGAAGTCAGATGTGAAAATGGCCATGTTTGAGACAGTACCAGTGGTGGATGTTCACAAAGACAATTTCAAAGAGATATGGCCATCATTGTTGTTGTCAGTAAAAACTTCCACATACATTGCCATGGATACAGTAAGGAATTAACTCCAGTCTTTTTCAAGTTCTACTTTTCATTCATTTACATGAAAATGTGTGTGAACATAAATTGAAGTCATGTTACAAAGCTTTACAAAAGAACTATCAAAATAACAAATTTGACTTTCACCTGAATAAACATTTTTTGAAATTCCGATCCATTTTTGCACTTCAAGACCACTCCAAGTGAGTGTACATTTTAGAGTCCAATTCCGAATGGTAATACTCCAGTCTCCAGTCACTTTCTTTATCTACTTAATTAAGAGTCTGGTACAAATATATGATGATACAATGTAATGGTCAGTGGTCATTAATTAACATGACAAGTTGACTTTGGAAATTGCCTCTGTTATAGTAAATATATTTATCTGGTAATGATCCCAATCATATTTATAACTGGTGAACAGTACAATTACAAACAAACAAATGGTAATTCATTGTCTGGTCATAGGACTACCCCACTAACTTTAGGAGTAAGAGATTATCTGTCCCCTCTCATTATTGCAGGATAAACATTTCATCTTTAGCATAGACCTGAAATGCTTAGGATTCAATAAACGTAATTTTGGTCAGGTGTGGTCAGGTGTGACCAAAATTAGAGAATAAGGTAATAGATTCACTTTAATATGGATTTTTTTCTGCTTTAAGGAGCTGAGTGGATTAGGAAATCGAAAATCCTTAGTTGCCAAGTAAGTTATAGACCACATACATGTACTTTAACACCCAGAAATCACATGTTTGATATGTATATACTCTAATTCTCATTATTATCCTCAGTAATTCTAATAAGAAGATGTCAGTGTCTGCTCCATATACATATCATACTAGAAACCAGAAATGTTTTAATATGAGGACACTACAAGCAATTTTAGTAAGGAGATAGTACTGTAAACATAAATATTATACAGTGTTTTGCTGATCTCCATAACTTAACTGATGCAATCAAATTTTAATGCTGTATGATCACATTTTGGCAAATTAGTGCAATGATGAATTCACACATTCATAATAATTGTTACATAAATAATGAAATTAATGCAGTTATATTTTAGTGGAACACTTTCTGCACAAAACCCTTAAAGTAAGTTTACCACTCAAATATGTATGTTTATTATACATACATGTAGTGTGAATCAGGATTAAAGTTTTCCTTTATTTGGTTTATAAAAATTTGACCAGGGGTTTTAATTTTGATTAATTATGTTAAGATGGACCTACTGGTCTTACTTTGCTTTCTGACAAGCTTAGATTAATCCTTTCATGGCCTTTAATAATATTTGGCAGTTTCTCCTGATTAATGCCTTAAATGTTATATTTTAAAAAAAAGAAAAGAAAATACCAGCATGTCAACAGAATTTTGATTACAACTCAAAGTCAGTAGGGTAAAATATGAACCAAAGAAATATATAAACAGAGACTCTTGAAAAAGAACAAGAAGAAAAAGAAAAGACCAGGTGTTCCAGAAGAGTAAACATCTACTTCATCAACAACACTTGCCATTTCAGTCCACATAAGTAATGTTGCATTCCCAAATGAGAACAAGGTTAACAACAACAACAGAATCACCAGGCAATTATATTAATGAGAATCAATCATGTCCAACTTCATACCACACAAGGAAATAGAATGTTTATTCAAGTGCTAGCAAACAGGTCATATGTCTTTATAGATGAATGATATATTGATGAGAATTAAGTAACCTATAGTACAATGTGTTGTAGATCTATAGAGGATCGCTATAAAAGCATCGCCAACAGTGCCAAGTCTCGTTCGATACTCTCTCTTGGTATCTCTTGTTTCAAACTGACTAATGTGGCAAAAAATGGCATGTGTACAGACTCTGGGCAGGAGGCCTCAGGAGTGCCACCAAGGGGTGAGGGGTCTGGAGGGTGTAAATGGAGGTTTTTGGTGCAGACATACAATATCACAACACTATGTGAGGAAGATTATGTTGTGGAGCCAGGCTCTTTGAAGTTTCTTGTTGAACATGGATTTGATTTCAATCGACAGTATGAAAAAGGAGTACCTTACTGTAGGGGAAATGATAAGGTAAGTTTCTTATTGTTAATAGATGAACTTTCTTTTCCCTTCAAACAGCAGACATCTTAATCTAGAGGAAAAATAACATACAGACAAGATCTATTTTTAATACATCTGAAGAATAAGATCCCACTTAACTATTTTTTTCATTCAACACACTTTCAATTGTATCGATCATGATTTTCACATCATTCAGTTCATATTACAGTCTTTATGACCAAGGACACATCTGTTTACTAGGAAGATTTTGGGTGGAGAAATTTATTGAGAAAGAGTAGTTAATTATATGGATTATCCATGTATTTGATGCATTGTCAGAACAGTGTTTATACTTGTATTGTGTTTCCAGATTGACACTAAAGCAGACAGTATGTCACTACGTCAACTTTTTATGGAGATTCTTGGAGCAGCATGTCCTGTCATCTTTCACAATGCTCTGATGGACTTGGTGTTTCTGTACGAAAACCTGTATGCCAGCACACCACCTAACATGGCAGCTTTCCTAGCTGATTTGACAGAAATGTTTCCAGCGGGTATCTTTGATACAAAGTACATAACAGACTTCAAGCACAAGATGCCAGCCTCCTATTTGGAATATGTTTTTAGGAAAAGGTATAAATTTTTTATTTGTGTGTAATTTTATTTATTTTTTTATTTTTTACAAAATTTCGTTTCCATGAAAAGCAAAAATTATCATAAAAAAGGTGTATTTTCATGAAGATGAGATTATACAATTGATTACAGTACCAAATATTCATATTTTCAAAAAGAATTCTTAAACAAAACTATGAAGTCGCTGAATTGTGCATTAATTATTAGAATGGTTGTTTACAGTTTGAGAACCAATAAGGAGTTTTCATTATTGGGTAAAAAGCATGCCTGGGTAGAATTTCCCACCTATCCTGCTGGGTTTTCTCACATCACTCAATGTAATTGTGAACGTCCTGGGACAGCTATCCCCTCCAACATTGACAAGGACACACAGGACAAACTAAAGGCTACCGTCTGTGACAGTTATGCTGTAAGTATTGTTTAGTTACTGAATTCCCAGATCTGTCTATACTGATGGAAACTATATTACATCTTTGGTTATGGTCTGGAGATTTTACTGCTTTAAAGGTAGAGCAGATGTCATAAATTTGGGTAAAGTACAAATACAGAATTGTTCATAAAAAAATTTCAACATTTGTGACAAATGTTAAATGTATCTTGGGGAAATCCACATGTGAAAATAACTTTGGACAAGAGTCTTTAATGGTTTTGTTGAGAGTTTCTGATGTTATGAAGTACCCCATAGTTGTTATCCAGACCAATTTTGGACAAGAAGAATCAAGTTAAGCTTTAAACAGAAGTCTTAAGGAATGGTTTTCAATAACCTTTATAATTCCACAAAGTTCTTACTTTTTTCTCTCAGTATATACTTAGTTTCAGAGTAGATAAGCCCTACACCAATAAACAAATATTCAAACAGCACATTCTGGATCCCACACCAGTGTATAATGGTTGAGGATTTTTATGTTAGGATTAAATAAGTTCAGATGAGGATTTGCTATTGGGCAATTTTATATGAATGCTAGATGGCTGACAAATTATGTGTTTCATGGATGTAGCTTTCACTTCAAATTGTTGTTGACACTTACACACACAAATACAAACTAGTTCCAGCTGGCTGGTGGAGCTCTCTGCATCCCTGGAACATTTCATGGTAAAACTGAAATGTTTGATACTTTGCGTACATCAAATAAATCTCGAGGTTACATAATGGTGTGATGTACTGGCTTTGAAGTTGGATGTCACTCTTCTGTGATTTTCAAGGAGGCCTTTTAGGATGTGATCGGTTAGTTTTCTTTCTCCAGAAACCTGCTTTAGACCAATCAAATTACTTGGCTAGTGATTTCAGTTTTCCCAGAATATGTTTCAGGGTTGCAGAAAGTGAAAGTGATCATAACCCCTGGAGGATAGGTCAGAGTTTGTGAATATCATTTCTGAAAAAGCAGAGGCATGTTTATCTTGTTAATGTTTTATACCCAATAAACAGACTTGTCTTGGATTCTAGTTGTATAAAATACTTTTGTTTTACAGATTTGAGATCAATATGGAAGCCTGAAGGCAATCAAAAACTATTTTATTCGAAGGTCAAGGTTGTTTTAGCTATTCCTTAGAATGGTGTATGCAGGTCTCTCTCAAATTTTATACAATTTAGTTTACCTGTGGTTGTGAATAGTCAGACCACCTCAGGTAAAGTGAAGTAGTTTAAAATCAAATTGATGGGGTTAACCAAATGTGGTTGGCATTACTGCACTCTTGTGACAATTCTAATCAGTACCAAAGATTTTTAACTCATTTTCATCAAATTGCCTGCATCAGTGGTTGGTTGACTGTCCTAAAACAATTGTTGTTTTCTCTATTTCTTGAGAAGAACTAAATGGATCTCTCTCAAATTTCTTATGAAGGTTCCCTTAGTCCCTGTTTTTTGGTACTGATCAGAAATCAAATAGCTGACAGGCAGCCATATTTGACTTTCACTCACAATGACAGCTTATAATCACCATTTCTTTCTCAAATCTCGTATATGATGTCACTGAATCTTATGTTGTCCAGCAAAGTTGCCACTAACTACATCAAGGAGACCCTATTTCAATAAGGCTCTAGCTGTTCACAAGATGAGAAATCCAGCAAACAGTGAACAGTATCTGTTCATCAGTAATCATGAAAACTTTCAGTCCTTTGATTCAGCATTGTTGTCACGGGCAGAAGATATACTTAATTTGTTGTCACAATTGTTGCTGCTGTACTGTAGTAGTTTGATATTGTCAGCCAAAAACACTGCCCACAAAACATCTTCCCTGTCAGCACCTACAGCTACAGAGCACTGTGTATCTGTATGATCTTGAGGAACTTGCCCCCTCCACTGAGGAGTAGCACTCTGTGGTTGTCTTAGTCTCCCTATAACGAGATTCCCTAAACTGTCATACACCACACTACATGGTTTAAATGGTTCACCTCAGGTCTGTGCTTGTTCAAATATTGTTGGGATGTCACCTCTGTAAACAAATTGTTCCTGGAAGTTAGTACCATGACAACAACATGTTCTTATCACCACCATCAAATTCACTACTGAAATCAACTATCCCACTGGGACTTCTTGCTGTTGGATAACAATCCAGGGAAAAGTCTACAGGTTTATTTGTGATGCAATGTTTTGAATGCTTCATTACCAGCTATTTTATAATAAAAGTATACATAACAGAGAGATAATGAAAATTGTTTGATATCAAAATGTCTCTTGATTTTCCACTGTGCTTCATAGCAAAGTTTTAAGGTATACCTGAAATGTGCCTGTTACTTCAGAATACTAGTGGTATTCACATTCTGTTTTTAGCGACAATTACCAGGTTTACATCTTTTTTAAACACGTTTTACCTGGTCTATGAACTGCCATCGATCCATAGAAAATTGCTGTTATTAAAGTACATATCCCAAAAAGTATTGGTTAGGTGTTTTGACTTTTTAGGTCGCCTGAGACAAAGTCTCATGGAGACTTATTGCAATTGCCTTTTTGTCCGGCATCCTGCATTATGTGTCTGCATCTTTTAAGATTTTTGACTTCTTTTCAAAAACCCCTGAACCAATCTCAGGGAAATTTTATAAAACTTTCCCTTGCCTAAGATAAACTGAAGTAGTGAATCCTTATGGTTCCCAAACCCTAGAGACCAAAGGGATGGGCAAAAAGGGGTCAAATTGGCTCCAATTAAAAAAAACCTCGACACCCAGATATGGTATAATCAAATGATCTTCATGGATGAAAGGGTCTTAAGCTGCAAAATTGTGAATTTCATGAACCCAGGGTCTCACATTTCCCCTGGGACGGGGTAAAGTTTACTGGTGGTTATATTGGAAAAGTACATTTTCAACATGATTCGTTTCATTTCCTTGGGAAACATTTCAAACTTGGTTGGAATTATCAGCAAAGGATGACAACTTGATGGTATGCAAGTATTGATCCTGGCTGATGGAAAGGGCTGATGGAAGGGGCCTTGGACCCCTGGGCAATGGGTGAAATTTACAACATTTATAGGAAAATTGGATTTTTGAGATTGAATGAAGTTATTTATTTTCCTTTGGAAATAATGTGGTTATTAGATGGAAGGGGCCTTGGACCCCTGGGCAATGGGTGAAATTTACAACATTTATAGGAAAATTGGATTTTTGAGATTGAATGAAGTTATTTATTTTCCTTTGGAAATAATGTGGTTATTAGAATTATTAGTATAGGGTTACATATTACTTATTATCTTTTTATAAATAATGTTGCAATCTCTTTTTCTTGACACTTGAAAGCTACTTACCCTATAACCTTCATATTCAATATTGCTTACCCTAGGTGAACATCAAGGTCGCTAGACCTCGTTTATCGGAGAAATTTGAAGGGCTAATTTTATTACGTTTCTCTTGGACCCATAGCACATTAGCTTTCACTAAAGAGCTGTGATTGGCAGTAACTGCTCATGCATATTATAAATTCTTTATGAATGACCTCCACAGATTAATTTTTTCATCTATACAATATGAATCTTTTATTTTTCAGGGCCATGGATGGTGCAGTCGTGGCAACAGTTGTGTCAAATCCCATGATGTTGATCTTATTCTAGATATTGATTTTCTTGCCCAGTCAAAGAAAAGTCGTAAACGTAAACGTCGCAGAGAAAACCAGAAAACAGATGGAGAAAATGAAGGTTTTACAGAACCGGATGAAGAACAGGAAATGGACTCTAGCATTGCTAACATGTCAATTGTTGCAAAGGAGACATCTGAAGTTGGTGAAAGTGACACTACAAAAAACTGTGACATTGGTGCATTAATTCCCTCTGTTACCATAGGAACACTTAAAGGGCCAGTTGTCTCTGGGAAACATAGGGCAGGGTTTGATGCATTCATGACAGGCTATATCATGGCAAGCTATGTCTCTGAATATGGTACACATAAAGACAGTTTGAAGTTAGCAGATGTAGGCTTAAACGAAATCAAAAACCTTGTATATTTAACAGGAAAAGATATTGCTTTATCTGTTGTTAAAAGTGGCTTTACAAAAACATCTAAAGATCATCGAGAGAAATTCTCAAAGTTTTCTCATATTTTATCTTAGTTTTGGGAATACGTTAGGCCATGATCTTTTTACTGGTAATTTTTTAGCAATTTATTCAAATAAGATTGTAAAGATACAGGTCAGTGGTAGGACTGGAGGTGTTTATGAGATTAAGAAAATGTAATGCACAACAAATGGTTAATTTGGAAAGGTCATTAGTCCCCACTCGATATATATCAGACAGTGCGAAAAATAATCAGTGAATCCACTATCCGCTGCACTCTGTCCATACGTACATGCATCTCTCTGGCCATCCATTTGTCCTCGCGTATCTCAGATACTCTTTTAGTCTACAAACTTTGCATGTGTGATGTACTTGGGATATCTAATTGTAATTTAAGAAATTATTTTTTTATCCAGCAATAAGCCCATTCATCCATCTATTGCTCTTTCAATATAACACCTTTACCCAACTCAGTAATAAGCCCACCCAATTCTTTTGAAGCAGGGTCTGTGTCGGACAGATGGCTTATTGCAGGAGGTCTTGGTGGACTTCAAATTATAAGACAACACATATTTATGTTTTGAATGTTTTTATTAACTGATGTCTTAATGTCATATGTGAACAATTTGAAACAATTAAACTGAAACAAGATATCAGCATTTTTTTCTATATCTGTAGTCATGGACGAAATTTCAAAGACAGTTTTATTTTCAATAAAAAGAAACACACTGAGGTTTTGTTTGAAATAGAAAGAAACAAACCGATTTTATTTTCATTAGGAAGAAACAAGCTGAGATTTTAGGGGGAAAGACATGACAATACAGATTAAGCACCTACACAAAGTAAAATGATGATTTAAGTGAGAAAATAATACATTGTGTTGGTTATACTAAACTTCTTCACTGTTACTGTCCGAGAGGAAATCTTCAGCCATTTGACTGATTTCAGCCTTTATAACTACCAGAATATTGATAATTCCAGTCTTTTTGACTCGATAGATATACTATATTTAGCTTCCATTAAACACAACATTCAGCCTCTGTTATGATTTCCATTTTTATCTCTGTACTACTGAAGACCATTTACACCAATCATAAATTCTGTTTCAATGACCTGTTTCTAGCCACTCTTAGTATCAGACAAATTTTAAAATACATAACCTCAAGATATGTTATATAAGCCCATTTTTACATTTTCTTGTGCAATGAATATTGGCAGTATTGTAAATTTCTTCACTCTTTCTTGAGCTATGTATGTTGGCAGTATTGTAAAAGCAGGTGCAAGTTATTGGTATTTTTATCTCTTATCGGTAATAAATTGAAAAAAAATATAAAGATACATTAAGACATAATCAAATTTGAAAGTACAAAAATATGTTCTTTGAAGAAAAAGAAATTAATATCAGTTGTTATAACTGAATAGATAAATTAGACATCATACCTGTCTACCTGTCTGAATAAACACCACACAACTAAGAGCTTCATGTCACATAAAGATAATGAAAGTATTTTTATATTTTGGGAGTTGGGGGATTGGTTAGAGGGGATTGATATATGGTATACTGCATTATTGCCAACTGCCATCTGCTTTAACAACCCCTCTACTATTTGAATTTCCTGAAGCTGGAGTGTAGATGGTTTTAATGATAGTTTCCATTTTTTTAAACTTATAAAAAAATCTGTCGAGCATATTTTTAGATTGAAGAGTACTGGTGATAGGACAAAATGAATATTTCTGTTATTAGATGAAATAATAGATGAACATAAGTGGTGTATGATATAAGAAATCTTAAAAGGAAAGGGGGAAATTAGTATGAGCTAATAGCTAGTAAAAACATGAAATAAACTATTGATGATATATGGATTGTCGCCATGGTAATTACAACAAAAAACAAAGATGGGGCAGTGGGTGATTTACAGCACATATAGATATAAAAGTCAAAAATTGAGTAAAATTTCATAGATTTTACACAAAAAAAGGTTCAATATATATGATTAATTTTGTTGATATGAAAACATTCTATGTAAGTAACAACGTTTCTCTCGTTGAAAAAATAAAAATATAAATAAATATTCCCACTATCTACATTATATATCACCAAAATTAACTACAATATATATAACATCAATTATTTCCCTTGTTGGTGCTGCTGTATCAATTATATACACACGTTTAACTGTAGTGCTACATGCGGGTTTTTTTATCGCTGTTGGTAAAACTGACCCACAATCTGATAATTATTGGCACAAAGAAGGGATCAGTGTATTATTACACACAGGGAAAAACTTCAGTTACACAATGTGTAGCCATTATCACCCTATATAGAACTTCTAGAACTTTTTTTTTTCACAGAATGAAAAAATACCAACTGAAAATGGTTGCCAAGGTCAACACTTGAGTTGATGTATTGGTTTATAAATAATTGCACATTATTTCCATTTGTGTATTTAACCAAAGATTCACATATTTTAAACCACCTATCAAATTTTAATACAAACATTTGGAGTGATTAAAGACATTTCATTGGACCAAAATCAGTCATATTCATGTACCCTGGGACATTTGTATAAACAATATTATATTTTTAAGTTTTCCGTTTAATAAAAGAGAGCATGACTAAGAAATCTATTGGCTGATTTAAGCACGTTTCATGAGACTAGTTATATTGGTAGATAATATCTACACAATTTTATCGATCCTTAATAAAGTTGCTTTACCACTGATTGTAAGTATTCAGAAATGTTAGTACTGAAGATTAAGATATCAATGGAGGTACCTAGAACTCTACAACGGGTATATACATTTATATCTCTTGACACGTGGGGAAATGTTTACAAAAGTTTGATATGAAAATGGCAAGGTAGCTCAATAAAACAATGTGTGCGTATGTTTTCTTCCATTCCTCTTGACTATAATCCAATGGAATAAATTCCAAGTCAAACATATCTAAATATTTACATAAAATTATCAACGATACTGATTACATGGTAGAGGTGACGGAACACAGACAAACTCACTCATTCACTGGCCTTATAATAAAAAAAAAAAGGAAAATCTGGAAATAACCAACGTAACAATGAATTCACTAATAAAATTATCCACGTTACCCTGCTTTCAATCTCTGCCTTGTCTTGAGGTAATTCAGTCTCTTCATTTAAAATTTACTTTTCAAACATAAATATAGTTTATTCTCTCAAAAATATTAAATCATTTTGAATTTAATTTCTATTCAACACTTTGAACTTCACATATTCCATTCGGAAATTTCTTACATTGTACAATGTATACAATAATACAACATGATGATTTAAATGATGAAAATGTTTTGTGCTGACTTCAATCACATGGAACAAAATTGTTTGAATATAACATAAAATATGAATATGAAAACTTGTTCATTATAAATAGATTTTAAAACTTTCATTATAATAACATGGAATCTTATACACCATGATACCTATTACATAAGTGTCATTTTAAGTAGAGATTTCTGCAAAATAAAATTGATATGAATATGTTCTGCCATACATATAGCATACAAAAAATCTGTCACAATACATGTAGTTGTGCATAAAAAACCAAGGAGAAACATAAGGTAAGATAAAAACCTGATATTTAACTTCTTGCCATATTAGCCATTAAAATATTTCTTATATCAATTATCTGGATTACACAGGTGCCATGTATATTATTTTTTCTTAGTTTTTATAAATTCAACATGAATTTGTGCATAAAATGGGTATGAATACAAGTTGGTTAGGAATTAAGTATTCTAATGCAATGGTTAACGGAAAAAAGGGCAGGAGGTATCTACAGTGACTTCTAAGTATGTGAATCTCTACATAGTTTCTACCACGTTTACCACACATACCCAGACTCCAGCTAGAGTCCTTTATCACATCAATATAACTATATTATTGCCAAATATACTATGTAACATACAGTTGATTGTTTTTGAGAGAGGAAGAATAAAATTTATACCCATAATCATTTAAGATAAAAGACAAAAGCCTTTATACAAAATGCATCTCTTCCACATACCATTTGTGGAAGTTCACAGGTGATGAAAATGGCGAAACATAAATGATTGATAAAAATACACAGGGGTCAATATTTTCTGTTTGTATGAATGTTTCTGTACTGAACACCAAAGAAATGAAGTAGTTAATGGGAAAGGGGAGATAACTGGGCATTGATTTCAAATCTTATCAGACTTTGCATATCAAGTATAATAATAACATTTATGAATATACATATGGAAGGGTCTAAGCATTTAATGATTAAAGTGTAATGAAAAATGACAATAAAACATATTTACAATTTCATTAATGTATGAACTATTTGCTATAAGATACAGCTATATTTAAGCCACCAAACCCACTAGGAGCTGGTATAGGCTAAATGGTATTGTAACATACCACCAACAACTTGACTTTCCTTCTGTTCGTACATATCACACTGCAGTGTGCTGAGACATGCAAAAAAATACACATAATTCTCTGAACATACTTTCGATGACCATTGCAACTTTCAAACTTTTGACAGTAAATCCATCCAGAAATGTCATTGATCCAATCTGCTGTTATTTGAAAAAGGTTCAAGATAATTTAAATAGCTATCATTTTCTTTTCTGATTGACTATTAATTCCATATTCAGAATGCATATTATACAAGTTTGGGATTTCTGATGTTGTTGATATGTTAAACTTGTACCAGTTTTTAAAAAAAAATACCTAAGAAATTCTATTGCACACTTTCATATGCTTTAATTTGGTTCAATTAAGATAATGCTGCATCAGAACTCATTTTTCAATAAATTTGATAAATTTGGGTAGCACAAAGATGTTCTGAAATGAAATAACATGTACTGGGTACCTCGAAAATGTGTTATTTGCTGAATAGAAAATATGTGGATTTGTAAGATTCTGATAAAAATCTGTATATATGTTGCTAATATGAGAGTGCTCCTAGCCTATCTGCCTATATACTGGCATTATGCTGCAGTGTCAAGTGTGTCACTTCCTAAAGAGGTAGCGACTCGAACCCATACAAATAAATCTACTCCATGTTGCCTTTATGAGGCAAACTTTTGGAGGTAACAAACAATAAAACCCACCAAGCCTGCTTTGCTTCATGACCTGGAGTATCCCTATACCCCATTGGTGCAGGGCCAGCTAGGGATTTGCCTGATGCTGATGTGGAGCTTCCAAGTCTCGGTAGAGCTCCACTCTGTTGACAATCTCCAACATGATCATAAGCGTCTGTCTCCTCAAAACGGCTTCAACTAGACTTCTATGGCACAAATTGGTGTAAAAAAGTTACCAAGCACCAACAGAACATGGCACTCAACCAAACTGACAAACAAGTATGTCAGTTTTATGGGGAAAACTGACCGTAGACCAAATGCTTTGATCCTCTTCATACGGCTAATGAATCTTGCTCAATGCTGCTTCCATTACCTTGGTAACCAGAGCTGACAGAGACGCCATCTTCTGTGACTTCTTGGTCATTATGACCTTGACTTTGAATTTTGTTGTTGTCATGGATACATACATGACCTTGACCACAGTTGAAATTGCGATTGTGCCAATGGTATGGAGCTCGTATATCACGTCGTTCTCTGCGACGGAATTTGCGTTCTTCCATCATTCTCTTGAGTTGTTGAACTTTCTGCCTCAACTTGGAGTCATCAGGTTTCTCATTGCTGCGTAGATCTTGTCTATGACTTCCTGTATAATAAAACATTTAATACGATGAAATGTGAACAAGTTTCATGGTCATCACATGATTTTTAATGTTACTGTTGCTATTCATCTTTATTTCATATTTTCTAATATTGTTTCAAATTCAAGAAGAATGAAATCTTTAAGTCAAAGTTCATCACTGTTTCATTTTTCTAAAGCATTATAATACATGTTTTTAATTATTTTATTAAAGAACATATCATGTTTCTTCTATCACATTTTGAAATTTTAACTTGTTATGAAAGGAGGAGAAGGTAAATGGAAGAAGGCATTATTTCGAAATTTGACTTTTTTAAAAATATTCTTAGTCAAGTGCAAAGACATCACTGGTCCCTTAACTCACCTTTACAGTGGGTATGGAGACGAGATGAAGAGGTTTGAGGGTGTTGGGCTGTTAGTCCCTGGCGATACTGTGGAGTAGCTCCAAGTAGGTCATTGAGGATATGAATGATGGTACTGATGTCTCTACGAGGACGTCCACCCTGATCCTGCAGGGTCGGGTCCAATGTACCTACAAAACCATAACATTTGTCGAATGAGTGAAGAAAATAATTCACATTAATGTCATGGATGGATTTGCATTACATAATGAAAATGATCCTTCACCTCAGATTCTATTTTTTATTTGACTTGCAGATGAATTACAACGATATAACATAAAATTTAGGCATAAAAAGCTAACTTTCACTTGCAGTATATATATACTTCATATGCAGTATCACACTGTGCAAAACAATATGGTGGATCACTTACCTGAAAATTTTCCAGAATAGACTCCACCTCCAAGATGATGCATGCTCTCAATGACAGCCCCTGGAGCTGGGGCTGGAGAGAGAGGTGAAGTAGTGCTGGGTTGAGGGGACGAAGAAAAGAACGGTCCCACAGGGCTAGTTCTTGATGACAAAACTTCAGAAGCTCCAGGTTTTGTGGTATGCTGAAAACAAGTGATAATTAGTTCAAGATCAGTGACCAAAACATATATGTATACAGAATTTGAAGTTTTCATTTCTCTAATTATCATTGCAAATAAGATGGTTATTAGAGTCTCAATTTACTTAAGTAATACACACCTGTTGTGGAGAGGAAGCTGGGAAGTTTGAGAACTGACTGATGTTCTGAGACAGGGTGTGACTGCCATGAGGAGCAGTTGGCGAGGGGATCTCTTGGTGGTCAGAGATCTGCCCAGGGGAGGGAACCATAACAGGGGCAGGGCGAGCCCGACGGCCACTACACTGTGAGGTTGACAACTGCAGCTGTATAAACATCATGTGATCACCAACCCGCATCGCAAGCACCAGTGGGGCACGACCAGATAGGAAATCATTCACCTGTAAGTTAGGAATATTGCATCACTCACTGATCACATTTAAAGCATTTCTATTTTTTTCTTTTTTTTTCATCACTGAAATGGATTGATCAGTTTGATATAACAATTATTTAAAAATCTAAAAGAAATATAAATTATTTTTTTATTTAAATATAATAAGAGTAAATCAAATTTGAACAACTGAATACTGTTTACCTGACCTGTGTTAGTGTTCATGGTTTGGTAGTTGGCTATAATCAATGCAGATAAATATTCAACACATAAATCATAACATACCTGAGAATCTGATAGACTTTCCAAGGCCTGCACAACACTTGAATCTTCACGTGGGTACTGAAAGAACAATTAATAAAGTGGATTGTCTCCCTTACACTAAGCATAAAGATATGAAAACGTTTCATGTTTTTTATTTTGTAAATGTAAGCTTAAATCTTAGAACAAAGTATAAAAAAATGTCATTAATCTTAACTTAACCAGAAATCTTTGAACAAAGTAGAAAAATATACTATGTAAACTTACAGAGAATCCACTTTCTAGTGTAGGCAGCAATGTCACCTGACTACAGTCTGTAATTCTGTTGTCCTTCAACGTCCCAAACTTCAACAGTCTACAAAACACAAACAATAACACCATTATCAGAAATATTTTGAAAATAAGAAACATTCAACTGGTGTTCTCTGTCCCAAAATGTTGTTACCAATATTTAGTCTGCTTTAAACTAAAGGCCCAATATACATTTTCTAAGAATGAAAAATTGGGGATTGCATATGTAGTTTGTAATTCTTCTTGATCATTGAATTCAGGGTGGGGCATTTATTTCCACTTATGATGAGGCAATAGTTTCTTGTCTGAAAAATATTGAGTATCATCATGATATCATGATAAAACTAAAGCTGATCATAATATCAATCATAAATAGGAATTAACTTAGTCTGAATAGCTTCAAAAACAGATATTGAATATTGTATGTTTGTATGTGTTGGTATATATCCTGTTGTATTAGCTAAAAACAAAAGAAACAGAAGCCCAAAAATATATAAGCAAAAAAAAAAAAAAAAGGTTTGATATATTTATGTGTTTTTATATATATCCTGTTAAGTATTTCAGAATTCTTAAACATTACAAGCATCATGGAAATGACATTAATGACAGGAATTCACGAACTGACATAGCAACACAAGTAATCTATACCACATCTGATGTCTTATATAACAAGGAGAGAACATCTGACACCTGAGTCAGAAAGACAACTCTGATATATAACCATTCCTCTCAGGTTTGTATAAGCTAAACCAGAGCACTCGAGGATATTTAATGAGTCACATGCCAAAGACATGGATTAGAATGATATACTGTCATAAGAAATAGCAAATCCTGGTTCCATTACAAGTGCACATAAGTTATCCCTTAAAGAATTGAAATTTCATTAAGAAAAAAATCTTTACAAAATCAGAAAAAGTCCTAACCAGAAGGCAATAGTTTAATGATTATTCTGCGAGGTGATTATGATTCACAGCACTATTTCTACGGAGTGTTTGAGATGAGTAAAACCTTCATCCTTTGCCTGTGGTAAAGGTCGATCAGTATCGATTATTTCAGTGTTCTAGTACAGCCGTGCGTGTGTACCCAGTGTTGACAACAACACTCTGACGTAGAATGACGCACTCTGTTTAATCAGCATATACTCACTGAAGCGATCGCTCTTTTGTAATCCTAACAAGCAATGTTTTCTTGTCTGAATCACTGAATGATAAAAAAGATTGTGTAATAAGTGTTTTCTCGTAGATTTTTAGGCAATGTTGACGGTAAAGGATTCAAACAATACACTTCCCTCGTCACCACGCAACTGATGGCCAAAAATGATGTGAGATTTTGTAACTTGCCCACCATCAAAGTCATCCCTATACATGAGGACATTAAACCCACTACCGACACCCACACCTGGGTCATATGATACAGTCCACTTACTCTGGAGCCTTTTTATTGTCATCACTCTCTAGCACATACATAATCTTGTGCTATCAGATCACCATCATTTTACATTGTTCTGTTGCATGGTTATCTTACAAAACTTACTTCTTACTCATTACTTACAATAATGTTAAGACTACAATAGAAATTTTTTCATATGTTTTGTAATTAATAATCATAGATTAATTTTCCTTATTTACAGTATCATATAGGTAAAATTGAAAAGATGCACTGAAATTTACATTATCATATTGGAAAAAATAAAAAGATGAAAGTTCAAATTTTAATATATTATGAGGATCTTTTACACACTTTTTTTTCACATATTTGTATTTGTTTTAAGATCTTAAAGCTAAATATTAACATATAGTAAATTGAAAAATAATATGAATTTTCGTTACTACAGCAGTGTTAAAACTTAAATGTAACACTATGGTTACTGTAGATCATGTGAATTTCAGTAATCTGAATAATTCTGATGTTTAATTGACTTTTTTTTATTGGAGTGGAATAATTCAGGCTGTAACTTGAGTAAATGCCATGTATTTTATTTGATGACCCTAGATTAAAACTTTCCATATATATATTATAGATAAGATAATAAGATTTAGATATAAATGATGCACCTGTACTTCACTGAAGTTTAAAACAAAAATAATCCGTCTGAAATGTTTCTAACTCGAACAGGCACGACATTTAAGAAATAATTAACTGAACAGGTATTACTGGTTTAACTTTCTGAAAATAGCCAAGTTCCTGGATACAGGCTCTATGGATTTTTCAAGTCTGACGGAATTTCAACCTTTAGATTTAGTATTGCTAATGTTTTACAGCTCCTGTAAAATACAAAGTCTTGACATATGTCACAAGGCGAGTGGCTATAGATGATACATCATGTTGTGTATGATGACAGTAGTGGCATGCTTCCAGATTCATCAAAGGGCAATATAGTCTTAGAATTGACTCACTTGTTTCTTAAATGTCTTCGAAATGTCAAACAGTAACAACTTCGCCAAGAAATCTGGAACATATCTTTTCTCTTGTCACTGCTATAGGTTATGCACATATTTTTTAATCCAATACTAATGAACATTTGCATGGAAGATGCTTTTAACAGAAATCAGTATTTGCAACTAATACAAATATTCATACAACAAATAAATGTACAATATAGATGGATGTTGATACTGAATAGTTTTCAATGCATAATGCTACGCTGGTATTACCTATATACTTTGACAGGAGTGACAATAAAAGAAATATTAATATTTTTATGAATTAACTAAAGGCCGGTGCAATGCTCTGTTTTACCTGGAATCTGTGCAGAAGTCAATGAGTGTGAATAGACAGTGTAAAGGTACAGCTGTTGCTGTGTGAATCAGCCACTGTAACAAGACCTAGAAACAAAAGCCTGCCTCATCACCAGGTGGGGGAAATGCTGAGTCAGAAACTGTCATCATAACTCAGGTAATGTCTCTACCCATATCCACACCAACACATGGCAACAGAACTCGAGTTCCCCTACCCACGTAAAAAGATAGCACTGAATCATTAGGTTTACTAGGTCAAAGTATGATTATAATAAATCAGTACAAGAATTTCTCTAACCATACAAGATCATTATCTCCAACATATTTGGTGAACATTTTTCTAAATACATCAATGTGTACAACATATTTTAAAAGTGGTCTTTGCACTAAAATCTAAAACTAATAGCAATGTCCATTATAATATAGTAAATATTAGCTTATTTGTTTCTTTGCAATCAAATTTATAACTTTTCCTACCAGTAAGCATTCAGGTGTACAAGAAGAGTTGATCTCATTAAGTATGACTAGATGTGGAGTAAAGGTCCGTTATCAGGTACTAAACTTATAATGACCTTATCCTGGTCATACATATTAGTGACGGATCTGTGTTTATCTTTTTTAACCTTGCAACAGATAGAAAATATAAAAGAATATCAGTGGAGGATATCATTTCAATAAATTCACAGTCATTAAGGGGATTACATGAAAAAATTTCAACAGAGATATTTAACAGTGAAAAAAAAACCCCAGTAAACGCTCTCATGGTTATTGCTTTACTTCTTATAAGGCAGTGTTATGCAAAATTAAATCACCATGAAATAGCCCCAAGTGCAACTACAATATCAAATTGTAACAAAGATACAGTACCTGTTACCCTAAAACTCCCGACATTATATGAACAGGTGGTTGCGATTAAGTTTACAATTGTAAGACTTGGACTTTTTCTGATTATCATTAAACCCTGAAAAGTAGGAGAAATTTAATTTTGCAGGTTGTGTTTATATCAAATTATGTTTTGTAAATTTATTGTAAACACATATCTGTGAAAGGAGATGTTTTCCTACGTTGTTTTAGATACCTGATGTCTTATGTGAATCAATGTACCAAGATGTCTTTGTAAATGTACTATAATCCAAAGACTATGTCTTAAAGTCGGTGATCCTGTCCCACTGGGAACATGTGTTCCCAAAAAAGAATATAATCAGCTTTGCAAAAAAAAATTGGTCACTACTGTCAGTGACATTTAGCCTTATTTACCTGTTGACCTAATGACCTTTTCAAATCTACAGTTTCCAACTGTTAATAAATGTCAGTCCCTGCTCAAATGTCATTTTCATCTGACCTATGGTGGTGGAAACCAACAGTTTAGTCGCAGGTAAACAATATCAAGATATAGGCATTAAATGTCAAATAATCTTTGACTGATCGTAAATGTCAAGAATCTTTGACATATGCTTTAGGAATACCAGCAGTCTCTACTACAAATCTTCACATCCATGCCAAAAAAGAGGATCCAACATGTTCATTTCCTAATGTTTCCTGTTTTTGTCTTTAAATCCATATCAACAAGGTATATTTATTTCAACACATTTTTTTTTCACTTTGTATATATGTATACATGTTATTCAATCCTTAATTCCACTGAAGTCTACTTCTGTTAAATTCTGTTGAAGCAAAAATGTTTGTTTAAAATGTTTTGATGTTAATATGGTAATGGATGAAAAAAACCCAACAAATTAATGCTACAGATGAGAGGTGAGGCATTTAGTCACCTGTTGTCACCTACCAAGTCACACATCACTTCATCCTTCTTTAGTCACCTCTTGTTACCTGGTCCAGTCACACCACACTTCCCCCTCCTTTAGTCACCTCTAGTTACCTTGTCCAGTCACCTTCCACTTCATCCTCATTGAGTCACCTCTTGTTACCTAGTTCAGTCACCCTCAACTTCACCCTCCTTAAGTCACCTCTTGTTACCTAGTTCAGTCACCCTCAACTTCACCCTCCTTAAGTCACCTCTTGTTACCTAGTTCAGTCACCCTCAACTTCACCCTCCTTAAGTCACCTCTTGTTACCTAGTTCAGTCACCCTCAACACCCTCCTTAAGTCACCTCTTGTTACCAAGTCCAGTCACACCACACTTCACCCCTCCCTAAGTCACCTCTTGCTACCTGGTCCAGTCATAGCCCATGTCACCTTCCTTAAGTCACCTCTTGCTACCTTGTCCAGTCATAGCCCATGTCACCCTCCTTAAGTCACTTCTTGCTACCTGGTCCAGTCACACCACACTTCACCCTCCTTCATTAACCTGTTGTCCCCAGACCTC